ATCGATTATTTTAATTTCACTGATTAAAATCTGATCATAGTAAAATTACTAGTATTGCTGATATAATTTTGATTTACTTAGTTGAGTTACCACCCTAGTACTGTACGCTAAAATTTTTCAGGTATCATAAATGGCACATCACTAATTGCATTATATAATAATGATAATATTGAAATGTTCTAGAGAATTATTCCATTATAATGAGGGTCCGCTTTAACGGGATCTGCTATAACGAGGGTAGAATTTCTAATTTACCGTAATAAGAATAAAAATATTGATCAACGCATTCTAATTGGCTATTATCCGATATCTGTAATATTTACAGATATCCGGATGGTCATTTTTGATCACGGATATCCTATCCACAAGGTTGGCAATGAACTATGATGGGTTCAGCCTATTCGGATAGCTGTTTCTGAGCGCGGATGACTATCCGAACATCCGGATCGACATCCGTATCCCAACACTAATATAATTCAAAGGTAGATGTACAACGATATAGACATTCTCAAATTGATACTAAATATATTTAATAAAGGTCTAGAAATTAGTACGAAACAACATAAAATAGTACGAAAGTACAATAAAGTCAATCTAATGTTACGCATATAAATCTTTGGATCTTAATTACACATATCCTAACGGTTATCACGTTTATCACGTGATAGACTACGAAAAGAAAACAAGCATTAACTTACTAGTAGCATGACAGTAGTTTTAAAACAAAATTAACGTTACATTTGTTACATTTTACTATATTTTGTGCATGCAAATGAACAAATAAACTTTGAAGAATACTATCGAGACGTTTATATCTATTATATATCAATATATATAGGGTACAGTACGAAAAAAGTGTGATTTTAATGAAAAGAAATGATGTTGAAATTTATCATAATTCTGTACGTAATCTTTTCAATATTAATATTATTGCCACCACCTTCAGCCCAGCTAAAGCAATTCACGTACAAAGATCCTCAAGCTGGCCTAGAGGTTTTAGATAATGATAAAACCAACGATGGAACAATAATTTTACGTTTCGGAACTCCAGCGAAACAAGTTAATGGAAGTACAACATGCTGGGATAATACCATTTATCTTCGAATAATTTATCCAAACGCGTCGATTAGTTTCCTTTCGATTTCAAATCATGGAATCCCAGATTTTAATTTTTGTTTGGCGAACAACTCCGTACGAGATTATACAACATTATGGGGGTTTGACCAAGGACTTATACTTACTTTTTATAATTCCTCGAATTTAATGACTTCAGCAATAATGGGACTTTTTATTACTTTTGAAGGAAAGATTTTAAGGTTTTGTATTTAAATATTTTATTTGTAATAATAAATATTGAGGATAATGCTCATTTATAATTGGATCACATAATACAGCACAGTAAAATTACATAATGCCCTCCCAGTAGACGAGGGCGTAGCAAGTTATTGGTTGGTTATCCCGAAATCAGGTTCACGAGATGGATTTTTATTTTACTGTAGCGGTGCAACAGTAATAAGCTGGGTACATTTTAACACACCGTATGTATTAAATTATTTAATTAATTGTCAGGGTCAAATAAAGTGGTAGAATTAAGAACAAAGGAACTCAGTTTCACCGATATACGATAATTAGTTTACCAATGTCTATTTTACCGACAGTAATTTATCAACAGTTATTCCACGGAAGAAGTTTTTATAAACCAGTTGTAGATATATCGGTGAACGCATAATATCATATATGTAATTACCACCTTGGATCCTGACTTAATGCGAAATAAACCGGCAAAGCAATAATATATATTATTTTATTGTAGAAACGAAAATGGAGAAATAATCGAAAGAGCTAGAAGTGGGATAATTCAAACAAAAATTAAAATTGTAACAATAATAGCTTTTTACATGTTAGACAAAGGATTTGCTCTAGCTTATGGAGGAGATGATTCCGCGACCAATCTTAATAATTCTATTGTAGACATCAATATTGGTACAACTAACGTAGCATACGTAATATTTTATTATTTCGAAACAAACAAACGAACAGGACCATTCTTGTTATATCAAACTCCCACTAAAATATTAAGGTTAAATGACATTGTTCAAACTTTAACATTGGAAGGAATTATGTGTAGTGTTGAATTTAGCGGTGCCGGAAATACATGTTTTTTATTATTGAATTCAGCATTTACTACAACCAATAAAAAAAGTATTACAACTTCGCAAAATGCCATGTTGAAGATATCTTACCTTTCTTCTGGGTAATTAAAATATCGTTAGTAATATATTAAAATGGTAAATTATTAATTATTTTTAAATTATAGATCGGTAACAAGTATAGGAGAAATGAAAAATGGTTCCAGTAATGGATACAGTATTGAGCCACTTCAGTTCGGTGGGTTTCTAATGTTAACACTTAGAGACAATCTTTTTGGCTATATTCTCGATGAAAATGGAGAAATATATAAAACATGGTCATCACCAACACCTATAAGTTTCCTGTATAAAAAAAGTATTTATGCTATTCTTGCAAATAATTCAATTGTGGTTGTGGATAATAAAGATAATTCAACTTGGAATGTGATATGTGATGATCTATTTAAATTTGGTCAAGGTATAAATAATAATATTGTTATATGAAAAAGATATATTCGATCTTAAACTTTTAATTACATTTATAATTTTTGTTCAATAAAGATAATAAACTCAATAACCCGATCATAGCATCAACGAACCCGGCACTAGGATCTCGAGTAAACGAATCCACAACACAACTATATTTATCATTCACTTATCCCGTAATTCTTTCAAGCTCAAATATTTCAATATACCAACATATCAATGGAACAAATCATGACCTATTGCGCCAACGATTTCAAGGTGATTTGCAAAATCAATTCTGCCAGATTGATCCAAATGATAATAAAACCGTTATAGTAGATGTACTTCCTAGTACTTTTAATGAACCTAATAGTCCTTATTACGTGGTTGTTGAGAATAATTTTGTCAAACGTAGTGATTCAAATGAAGCTCTTTTAGGAATTGACAAAAACTTATGGACTTTAGTCACAGGTTGTATAAATTATGCTTAATTTATATGCTTAAAATTACTTATATTTAAAAATTTTACTTACATTTTATTTTTATTCCTTATTTTTCTACTCTTAGAAAATAAACAATATGTTTATTCAAGTAATAATATTTATTATAATAAGTATTCTTAGCGTTAGCTCTACAAAATTTAATAATTATAATTATTATAATTTAGGTTCAATATTCGGTAATATTCGCCTGTCACCTGATGGTTCTAGCTATTATCTTTCTCTTAGCTCAGCTGATCAACAAAAATTTAACAAACAAATGGCTTCCGACCTTTCTTCTATAATCCCCGTTGAAGACAACAGATTAATACCAATGAACGGATTCGAAAAAGACGTATCTACAGGAATCTCGCAAATATTACTTTTTTTTAACATTATGGACAACACCGCAGATTTGTCAAAGAAAAGTGCATGTAATATATTTGATGACTTCAACACATTACTGAAATATAAGAAATATAGTGCTTTAATGGACTATAATACGACATCATTAATTGATGAGAATTATCCTATGACTATTGCTCGTAAGTTTACAAAAATTATTTTTTGTTTTATTTACGATTTCCTCTTTCACAATTTTAAAGTGCTTTTCCTTTATAAAGCATTATCCTTGGGGGATTATTGGGAGTTGATTGTAATTATCATTGTTGTGTTAGTGATCTTGGCTATATTATATTTTTTGGTTTCGCGAAAATTTAAAAAGGTAATTTTTATTTCATTTCAAATTTAAATATAAAATCTGTTAAAAAACTAAATTAAATTTTATTATTTAGGCTGATAATTTTGCAATGTTCAAATTAATTATTATCCTTGCTGATTTGGGATTACGAATTTTGTTTGTTATTAATGATGCTAATAAAGTTCCAGAATTATGGTTGCCAAGGTTCATCATTACTACTTATGTGGGCTGTTAATTCGTTTTACGTTTAAACTAATTTAACTTTTTCTACTTGATTGTAGTTTAATAATCCTCATAATCCCAACATCTATAAACATAATAGCATCATTCTTGATCATCGTTCATGAAATTCGTAAAAATCCAGTATTTAGCAAATGGTTCTCAGAATATGCTTTCCTTCTTCCATGTTTCACAATCATATCAGCGGGACACATTGAAGCTATGTATGTTTTGTCTTCAAATTTTGGAATGTTGAAGATATTCAGTACAACTTTCTCAAGGACTGCTGAACATGCAATATTTTGGGTTGAAATATTAGGATTGGTACTTTGTATTCCACAATTCACCATTCAGGTTAGTACTTATTGAATAGAAAAAAAAAGAAATGATAATTAATTTTATATAGTATTCTAACATTGATTTTGTTATTCAAAAAAACAAGATAATATTTAGAGTAAAAACAATAGCTTTCAATATTATCCCACAATTAAATTTAATATCTAATGCAATAATAATAATATATAACGTACTTTCGGGGATTTATCAAATGGTATTTCGGTATTCAAAAGTTGATGTTGTCCAAACTAAGTCATAAACTTTCAATATCAGTAGGTCTGACAGTGATTTTAAATTATTTTTAGATGCATTATTTACGCTTTACTTTTTTTCATTTAGTCTACTTTGCATTAATCAATCAATCAATCAATTATTATTACATTTTTTATTCGCATATCTAGCATTATTTTATGAGGGTTTACATCTATAGTATTATTTTTTTTCTAAGCTTTGTATATAATTTTGACTTGTTGGATCAAAGTATTAGGGATATATTATGTTTAGGGAGGATTTGGGGATGTAGAGCATTTTTACTTGTAATGTCATGTACCATTAAATGGCTAATTTTTGATATAATATATTCATGGGTTTAAACATCATAGGATCGCTTTAGTAGAAGAGCATCCTTTAATTTTCAATTTAAATTTCTGCCCAGTGACGCGGTGACGTGAATGATCCAATATATATTGTATGATATATAATAAGAACAAAAAATTAAGGTGATTATTGTGATATTTGATTATAGTGAGGCTTTACTGTAGCCAGTGTTGGCGAAAAAATACCTTTCTTATTGGATGAAAAAAAAGAATCGATTTACGTACTGATATGGTTCTAAAAAATTACTCTACTGTCAAAATATAAGGTTATTGCCAACCAGATTATAAAATCAACGCATTACATAAAGTTCAAAAAAAAATCCCCCGGAAATGAGTATTCAACCATTTAGTAAAGTTTTTCAACTCAAATATTCTTACCGAATTCGCACGAAATAACGCCCATGGGCATTATATTTAAGACAAGTATTCGAAGAGAGCCAATATTTATTTAGCCGAATTAAATGTTAATAATTCTTTTACTAAATTAATTAGTCCTCTTCAAATTACGTGTCTCGAATAACGCCTATAGGAGTTATTTCGCGTAGATACGGTACTGTTTTATTTTAAGTAGTGTTCAAGCCAGGTATAGTTGACGGTAGAATTATGAATTACGGCAATTATGACATAGCATCTAATTGCCGTAAATATTATATGCCGTAATGCCGAAATTCCATAATTTTCGTAATTTCACAATAACACAGCATTGTAATAATATGATACCGTAATACTATAGCACTATCTTAATGCTATAATTAAGTAACTACGTGACACAGTCACTTCAATGAATATGTTGTTATTTGCCATACAAGCATTTCATTCACATTAATTTAGTCGGTAAGCATAAAAGTTATTTACATTCTATTTAAAGTGTAAAAAATCTGTATGACAGAGGTGAAATAAAAATATTTTATGATTATAAAAGGAACTTAAATACGGCAATGTGCCATTATAATGAATATGACAAGATGAAGTAAGATGTCTATAATGTGAGCAACAATGATGGCAAGTATAAATAAGGATACTCATGATTGCACGAAAGCATTTCAACTTAGAGCCTTCGCATATGATAACATAAGGATAATCAAGTCATTCATTCGAATCACATGATCTGTAGATTTTTTTGGGTGACGATTTAACCCCGGTTCGCATTATTATTATTATTATTACAACTAGGGCTGTTAAGTGGTCCGACTCAAACCGATGGACAGTCGGTCCGTCCTAGGACCGGGCCGGTCCTGTCTTTTTTGGAACGGACCGAAAGGACCGTCGGTCCTAATATCAGTTATTATTAATTATTGTTGTAGATAATTATATAAATAAAATATAATCTGATTCTGCGACTTTGCGATATTTGATCTGATATTAAATTTACGTACATAAATATCTAATTATAGTCGTGGGAACACTTATTATTGGGTTGATATGCTAAGCAGTGAATACTTAATTACATGTTTGGTGCTTAAATATAACTGTTCTGAATTTGAAGAACCAAATTTCTTTAACGTAAATCAGGTGCATGCATTATGTATAGAATACTCCAACCTCATATAGTGACTTTTTCATTCACGATACTAATTTAGTTGGATGTTTAATTAACCAAAAATAAAAGTCTTAAACTAAATCGTTACAATACAGTATTAATTTGTTCATAAGTTATTAGAGAAAAGCTACTCTTTACTATCATATATCACTTTATTAGGTTATTTTTAGAGGTTTAAACAATGATAAAAATTAAAATTTTAAAATAGGGTTTTTCTTATTTGATTTCTATTTTATTATAATAAGTGGTTTTTTTTGACAATTGTTAGATATACAGATTTAATATATTTATATATTTAATCAGAATTATTGTCTAGATATACTTACAGTACAAGTTCATTAAAAATATGCCTACAAACATTATGTACATGATTCTCAAAATTCATGTGTATTTCATCATTAATAATAATAGACAGGTTTAAATATTCGGTTAGAGGTAACTTTTATTTAATAATTTGAATGGAGTCTATAATAATAACAGGTAATATCTTGACGCAACTTATGCAGCATTTAATAATAGGTCCGTCCAGTCTTATACTGATCGGTCCTAATCAGTCCTGGTCTAACTTTTTAAAAGACCGTCGGTCTTTGGACCGGACGGACCGATTAACAGCCCTAATTACAACACAAAGATACTATAGTATTATGATATTATGGCATTGCGGCACATAATATTTACGGCAATTAGGTTCTGTGCCGGAATTAATCCTAACATATGGTAGAATGCTGTAATGCGTAATTCAGTAATTCTATCGCTCTGTGCCTGTATCCATACCCATGCCAAGTTTTTTGTGCCCGTGCCTAGATTTTTATTGGGCACAAGCACGAACTCATATTGCAGACCCTTAATTCTTTTCCGATAGTATCCTTTCCCAAAACCCCCAGCATGACCACTAAAATCAGTTATTTAATCGCTATTTAAATTTTGATACTTATTCAGAAAAGAATTTACAAAACTTGATTAAAATTTAATTATATAATATGAAATTTTTATTGCATAAAAAGAGAAAAGGTGTTGTTCAGTTGAAATTATTCAGTGATTAAATTTTAATTAAGTTTAATTCTTTTTACAATGTGATAAAAATGTCGCTGTCTGCTGGGTTCCGGATCTGGATGAGTATCAAACTTTAAATAGCGATTAAATAATGGCCATGCTAGAGGGTTTTTTAGGAAATGATACTGTCGGGAAAAGAATTCTATTTTTAAAAATAGACAATGTCAGGAAAGTGATATGTCGGGAAAAAGGTATTATCTGTAATGTGTTATGTCGCAAAAAGGTTTGTCGGGCAAATAAATTGTCATAGAAATCCATCAGTTAACTGATACGTCGATTTAGGTGTAACAAAGCTCAAGAAAGTAACTTATGCAGGTGCTCAACATAATAGATAAATAGATTCAGTAAATGATTGGCTTAGTGAAACACAAAATCATTAATTTTAATGATTATTGTAAATTATAAATTCATCTGGGCAGTAAAAAAATCAAAAAAAAATCACAAAGCTATGCTTCGGAATTTTATAAAAATTCGATTATTTTTAGCATTAATCGCATTAGTACTGCTAAACATCTTCAACTCAGCTCACAAGAGCGGAGCAAGAGCTTGTGCATATAGTCTATATAAAATGCGTTTAATTTCGTGAAAAGAAAATCACGTTTTTTTTTTAGTTATAATTGAATTATATAGCAGCAAGCAAATCGGAACTCAAATGCAAATTTGGCAAATTTACGTTTCACAATTATGAACTAGCTTTTTTATTGTGTTGGATTGTACATGTGGGCGGCTTCGCTGTCCAGTTTAGACCGGTCATCAGATATAGCAGACAGTGTGATAATAGTTTGACATACAAATTATTGATAATTTGATAATGCTTTTACTTAATTTAATAAGCCTTCGACCTCGCTTCGTTCATCCTCATTTCAAATTATGCGCTTTTTTTTTTTTTTTTTGGTAATGCCATTGTAACAAAAATAAGACCTCAATCACATTCAAAACTAACGTTCGTTTTGTCGAAAATCGCTTATTTCTCAAAAAGCAGCACAAGAAACAACCTTCTACGATCTAACAGAATGTTTTCCTTGAATGGTTTTACTATACAGCTTGCTAACATTTAGTTCAATATAAATACTAATCTTAACATAATTAATTTTAAAAAGTTTATTGGCTGCCACAATAAACACATTTCTGGTTGTGAAACTGGGTAGGATGAAAGTCACATGATTATAATTTAAATTTATCAAATTTCTTTACTATAATCTTTTTGATCCTTGGCGATCAGTGATTAACAATTCATCGTTCCATAAAATTTGATAAAAAAAGACAAAATGAGAAACATATTTGTAAAAGTTAATAAAAATGGCTAAAAAGAACCTTCTTCACTTAATGCCTGTATTTAAACAAATAGAGATTAGTGTTGTTAGACGAAACCTATAGGTTAAAAAGACAAAATGATAAACTAATAAAAGAGAATAAATATAATAAACTCAATGAAAGGTATGTATCGGTTAATGGTATGGACCGATAAAAAAATGACGGCCAAAGTCGTTCCTAAAGTTCAGGCTGATCAACAGGATCGACCTTACTTGCTAGTAAAATATTCCTGACTAAAGTTAGTCATTATTTCTATATTAAAAATGTAAGAACCTATCAGGTTGTTTCTTGCTAAATTATAGTGATACTTAAAATCAGATGATTTAAATCGATTAAAATCGGGTTTCAAAATTTCTGATGCTTGTCTAATTTAGGTTATGAATTAGCAAATACTGTATAAGGAACAAAAGAATATTCGGTAGATAGACGATTAATCGACATAAAATAGGGACTAAATGAAGTTCCGTTTATTACATAATTTCTATTATTAGAAAACACCTTAGGTGAACATGTTTACATATAGAAGTGAT